GCAGGGAGGAACGCTAAATAGGACTCGTCTTACACGAGTAAAGCAGGGGGCGGGCCGCCCCCACCGCGGGTGATTTCACCCCGCGCTTGGCTGCCGGGATCTCTCCTTACCCCATCCCGGGCGATGGCATCTTCCCTTCTTCTGACGCCGGCGGTGAGGCGCCTCTCCCCGGCCAACCCCATTTACGCGGCGCAGGCGCTGGACGAGTCGGCGCCGAGCCGCGCGCGTAGCTCCGCCGCGAAGAGCGACGCGCCGCCCGTCCGGCGGAAGGATTTGCCGCAAGCGTGCCCGTGGTGACTCCGAAGACGAACACGAACGCCGCCAGCGCGGGCCCTGCGCGGGCCGCGGCGCCCTGAGCAGCTGCGCGCCCGCACTCCACGAAGTGTTTTTTAATGCGAGCAAAACACTGGTCACTGCTCCCGCCCCCGCCCCCGGCGCTCCGCTCCGTCTTTTACCACATCAAGTTCCGTGGAGAGAGCGCGCGCTCTAAACAATGTCTATAAGGAAGTACGCTGAGACGTGAGAGATCGCTGTACCTTGTAGTGCCACAGCCAGTGCGCAGTGGCGGCGGCAGTGCCGGAGAGTCTGGGAGAGGGATGCGGCCTCCTCTCCCCGCGTCCCGCCGTCCCGTGTCCGCTCTGGCTCTCCAGACTCCACACCCCGGTGAGGCCGGGCAGCAGCCAAGCTCCACGTCCGCTCAAAAAATGGGCCAAACCCCTCAGGGGTCAAGTCGCGAGCGCTTGGAACTCGTCGTGGCAACTCTGAGCCCCGCGTCCGCCTGGGCGGTAGTAGACTTCATCGAAGAGCGCGTGAACGAAGAGCGCGATCCGACCGACCGTAGGCGCAAGGCGGCGCAGCCTGCACCATCCGGCGCCTGCGCGCAGCACTCGTCTCAGGCTGGGGTAATCTCCATGTATCAAGCCCAAGGCGTCTTGTTCGAACCCCACGAACTCGAAGCTGCTTTTCTGCCACGTTTCAGCACCATGACGGAGGAGAAGGCGCGCAATCGACACCTGCCGTTCCTCAGTGGTGTGGACGCAGCCGGCGTGGCACGCACCGTCGACCAGATACGGCGCACCGTACGCCGCCTGCATCAGAGCTGTAAACCCATCGCGCCCTCGCGCATTGACTTCGGCACCATGAGCAAGCAGTAGCTCGACGACTCGCAGGTGGCCGAACCATGCCGCATTGCTCAGCGGCGGCTGATCATACCCACCGCCCGGGTCTCTCTCGGCCGGATCATTTGGGTCCGCACCGGCGTCAAGGGCAGTCTGCGCAGCTTCTAGCACGACGAGCTCAGTATGGTCTTGACCGTCACAGTAGGTGCCGACGCGTCTCAGCCCGCCTGGCCGATACGCCGTGGTCATTCGAGAGGAGAGAGAAGAGGCTTCCGCGGCGCCGGCTCGAGCCTTCGCGCCTTGCGTTATTTTGATGATTCCGCCTTTTGTTAATTACAAACCCAATGGTCCCTTGTGAGCGGTCCTTCGTTGCAGTCGCACACACGCACACGCCACGCCGCACCGCGCGCCCACCCACTGCCCCGCCCAGGCGGGAAAGAGATGAGGAGACGGGACAGCAAAGGAGGAGCCCAAACAAACACGTATGGGAGGGTTCAGTTGTGCGCCACGCTGCCCGGCGTTTCTCACTTTCCGGGACAGCCCCGCCCTTTCGAGGCGGGAAAGTGACGGCTACCCCGTACGCCCTGTTGCTTCTACCCCGACGCCGACCGCCCATCCCCCCCTCCTCGTTCCCCCCTCGAATTCTCCGGACCCCGACAAGCCGCCCGACGTTGTGGGCCTCTGCCCTGCACGCCCCCGCCCCTTCTGCCCCTCGCACACACCCAGGCCCGACATGCACATACAAGACAAACCCGGCGTCCTGCTCTCAAAAGAAAAGAAAAAATGGGAAGGAGGAGACCAGCGGGGGAGACTCCCCGCCTATGCAACACCCCAGAGAGGGGCTGCCATCGCCGAAGCTGTGCCTAAGCATAACTCCCAAACCCGCAGCGGCCCGGGGGGCCTTGGGGGCAGCCTGCCGGACCGCTGTTGCACGGGGCTAAGCACCAGAAGATGAGTGTAGTTGATGGATCGGGCTGTCGGCCGTGCCTCCCCTCTTTTCGTCTCAGAGTGGGACCTACGCCGCGCCGGGTAGGGGGCGCGCCCGGTCCTCGACGGAGCCGCGCGCCCCAAACGACCCAGGCGGCGAGTAGTCGTCGTCGAACCTTCGGCATGTAGTAGTCCGTGGAGCGTGGTTAGCGCCCTTCCTCCCTCGCCCGTCCCTACTCGTATTGCACTCGGGGCGCCCGCGGCATCTCGCCGCCCATCTTCGGCCACGT